ATATATGGCCTCCTGTGGTCCCTGTCCCTTCTCTTTCTGTCTACCATGCAGTGAGCAGAGTCTAACATACATTCCTACTGCCTCTACGCTGTCCTGGGAAGAGTGGAGCCAAGGACTGAACAGCAACCTCTGAAACCCTAAACCACAACAAAGCATTCCTCCCATGCATGTGTTGGACATTTTATCACAGTAACAAAGAGTCCAATACAGTTGGTTGTGCTGTATTCTTGGTGACTGTGGAACACTCAGCTTTGGTAACAGCTTGGCTACCCTTACCCTCAGTGTTTGTGAAAGGAAAAAAAAAGACAGGCCTTTCTTCAGTATTTTAAGAAATACTGAATGAATTGAACATGGTATAGCCCTCATCAAATTCATACCTAGAATTTAATAGTTCAAGTACAATAAATGACCAATACATTTCCAAAAGTAGAAGGTTTCCCACATATTTGAATATCTCTAGAACCTGATCAGAATGAGTCCTATAACGTATGCTCCTGATTTTATCTCCAGTTCCAACAATTTAACTTTTCCCCCAACTGCTGTGAGTATAGACAATCCATTTTGACAGAAGAATAATGGGATTCAGGCTAAGTCAACCTGTTGCATGTGTACCTGTGGCAGGACCAAGCACTGACTGGTCACGATTCCTCTCCCATTCATTCCTGAGCATCTCAGCCCAGGTCTTGTGGAAGGTCTTTCTACTTTAGAAAGCAATGTAATTACCAGAATATTCTTCTTGGAAGTCTCATTTCTGCTTTCATGCAAAAGAACTGTTCAGATATTCCTAAAAAAAAAATTAGTATGGAGTATAATTTTCTCCAGTGACAGGTTATTTGGTAATTGGGGACATTATAACATCGATGTTATGCTGGTGTGTTTGAACACTCAGTCCCTAGCTGGCAGCACTATTTTGGGGGATTATAGAACCTTTGGGAGGTGGGGCCTAACTGGAAAAAGCAGGTCACTGGTGTAACAATGCTATTCTAGCCTTCTTCTCTTTCTCCAAAAGCCCCCAGCAATCTCTTCACACTACAGAGCCCTCTGTGTATCCACCAGCCTTCAGTTAGTAGTAAACCCATCTAGTCAGGCATTGTGGGCACCTGCCAGCTGCGTGCTCAGTTCTGTGTGTAACTCTTTCCCAATATTTTACTAGGATTGGAGATCAATAGAAAGAAGCAAAGGCTTCCTAGTAACGCCACCAAGCAGTGCTGTGCTTGATGGAGCTTGGACGACAGAGAAAAAACAGGACAGAACGCCTCCACACAAATCATTTGTTCATTCTGTCCTGGTCTTCAGTGCTTAAATTCGTAATGCGTGTCTGATATGAATAGGAGCCTTTATGGGCTGTGCAATGAAATATGATTACAGTCTCTGAGAAACTGGAATTCTTTGCAATGCCTCCAAAAATGTAAAGAAGTAAAGGCACTTAAGACCAGAGAGATAGCTGACTTTGAGTGGTGGACACTTTTCCATGACCACAGTGCAGGTAAGAAACACTTACCCTCTATCTGAGAAATACCTAAATGGCGCTTGTCATACACCATGGTAGCCTCAGTACATATACTCTGGTGCTGTCACTGTGTTCCTGATAGTTCCCCTAACCATCTTCCCACTGACACATTCCAGGAAAGAAGATGAATACCAAGGCTAGCAATACAACTATGTGATGGAGTACCTGCCTGACATGTATAAGACCCTAGGTTTGACTCCAGCATAATAAATAATTAATTAAAATATAATTTAAAACTTCTAGTGTACATTTCCCTACATCTTTGTTAAGTTTTTGAGAAAAAGACTAAAATTAATTTTATTGCTTTGATGCATAGGATTCTAAATAATAGCAAAGAGGAGAGATGTGTGTTATAAAGACTTGCTTGTACTCCATACCATAAAGAAACCAGCACCAACTTATCATCACTCGCTGAACGTGCACACACTGTTAATGGTAAATTTGATCTGTATTAGCCCTACTCCCTGCCTCAATGCTCCTGAGGAGTACAAGTTTGATACCAACAGAAACAAACATAATTCAGTGATTCAGAAAGTGCCTAAGCCCAAACACCTCAGAATGTGGGAAGAGTCAAGGAATGATACTGAGAGATGACAGTAGACATGTCAAGTACTAAAAATGTGGCTGACCATGTGACCAGTGGTCAAGGGCAGGACTGAACTCCAGGATGATTGACAGCCCCTTCCCTAGCTAGTGGTCATGGAAAAGTGTCTCATTTCAGAGACAGAAATTTTTCTCAAAATTGTTCAGGGAAATGTTGTCCACTTTTTCTCTGTCAAGTAAGCATATGAAATGTATACATGTACACACACACACACACACACACACACACACACACACACACACAGGCAAAGGAACACACTCTCCCACCCACTCTTTATTTCAAGCTGGTAAGACAAGGTTCTAGTCCTTCTGAGTTTAAATAAATTTCACTGCTTTTCTTGGCAGAAGAGCAGAGAGCAGAGGGATGAGCTTCCATTGCCATGTTGATTCTGGTGAGGAATATGATAGTCAAACCAGCTCTCTTGAGAACCCCCCACCCCTGCTTGCTCCAAAGGGTCCAAGTAGCCAGATTCAAAATGACAAATTGGAAACTTGAAATCACAAAAATCATCAAAGAAAATATCACCAGCATCACTTTTCAAACCATCTGAACGAAAAAGCAAGTATGACCAAAAGAAGGAAAGGAAACACATACAATTGGTCAATCCAGATGAAAGTGGGGGCTCATTGTGTTTTTTCACTTTTTTTCCAAGTTAATTTTCTCTATCAGAGTCACATAAGTAATCATGATTCTAAAGGCCACTTGTTTGATCTATGATAACTGTTGTCAAATCTGTGTTCTAATCAGTTTACTAATGCTCACTAGATAGCACTGAAGGATACAAGGCTCTTTGAAATGGAGTTTACACCATAGACTGTGTGTACTTACTTATTTTAGCAAAAGTGAGCATTGGAGGCTGGACGTGGAACCCAGTGACAAAGCATTTGCCTTATTTAGTACGAGTGGGGTCCAGCATCCGATGCCCTACACCAAAGGTGAGAGCTTTTATGTGAGTAATGGAAACATTTTCAGCCATTACCTGTTTTTAGTTATTTTATTTTTCATAGATACCTTTATAGATAAGCGGATCATTGGAAGTATAAAGCCTGTGATTTGGAGGGTGGGCTACGTAATGGGAAATGTACAATTAGCTCAGCACAAACACCATGTAATGGACAAATAAATGATTTCTAAAGCCCCACATGCCCTATTTTTGCACTGTGAAAATTTTTAAACAAAATCACTTTTCTGTTTACCAAATGTCAGCTTCTAACTAAAGTGAGATCTGGACTACATGACTACCAATGGAGCGAGATGGTCTAAGGAATTGGTACCACTGCCTTCTCATGGAATAGAGTTGGACTGATTGCTAACCATTAGTATGGGTGGAGAAAGCTTTGGAGAGAAACTGCATAACTGATCCCATCCATTACTGAGACCAAAGCTAAAGCCTTAATTTTCCTTTAAATGCTTTAAAGACATATAAACCACAACCCTAAGAACATCACAAGACTGCACAAGAAGCAATTCACGTTGTTCTGTCAGTGGTTGAAGAGACACTTTGTCGTCTGAGGTGAGGTGAGGACAAGATGCAGTTGATATGTGGCAGCCTGCGTTGGTGCTCAGAGCCCTCAGCCACCTCTCTGGCCCCCTTGACCAGCTTAAACCCAGACTGAAGTGCCCATACTCTGACTGAGTGATGTTCCCAGCCAGTGCAGACCTGGGAACAGGAAGTCTCAGAGATTGTGTTTATTGTGGCTTATCTTTTCACTGATTTGAATTAAGACAGTCTGCCATTTGGGCCTCCTACAAATCATGGCTTTGAAGCATAGTAACCTGGTTTCTAATTCTCACAGCTCTGCCATTTGTCATAACATTGGGATGGAGGGCCAATGACTTACCTTCCTAGAGTCTCCTTCTCTTGTGAAATACAGAGGAGATAGGAGCATGGACCTCAGTGTGGAGACTCAGAGACAACACTTGTGTCATGTAGAAATGTAGAGTCTACACTGGATTACAGCAATTTTTGAAAAGGTTCACATTGGTTTGTCTCATGCCCATTTTACCCTACATTAGGCTATTATAATATTGTTATCAATTATATTTAGTTGGTATAAAACAGGATTTACTATGATATTTTAACACATACATATACAATGGACAGAACTGTTTTTTAATGTAGATGCCTTTTTCAAATAAATTTTTTTTCTAAATTGAAAAGTGTAGTCTTTAATTCCTAAATTAAGATTATTTCAGATAAAATTGTTTCCAGAGGTTTTTAAATGAATTCCCCCTCGTGTTCTTTAAATTTTTCCAGGTACTAGTACATTTTTAAGTTAATAAAGTTATCAATTAAAAGTACCAAGCAGGGGTTTGTTATACAGTTGAATTGGCAGATACATGGGAGTTTTTGTCTTTGATATTTTTTGCGGGGGGTGGGGTGGGGAGGTGGTGGTCTTGTTTTGTTGTTGGCTTTTTGTTTGTTTTTTCTGTGAAGAAACTGGTTTCTGAAATGTTGAGCTCTTTGGCCTTCTTGTCTCTGTTGTATCTTCCTGGCTTTTCAATTACACAGCAAGAAGTCATAGACACTGGGCCCAGCAGGCCAAGCACTTGCCACATCCCCAGCACTCATGTAACCAGGGTATGGTAACCACCTGCAAATTCAGGTGCTCGGTGCTCAGGAGGCAGAGACAAGGGCAGTGCAGCAAGCTGGCTGGCTACGCTAGCCTATGCATTGAACTCTGGCTCACGGGGGTAACCGTGCCTCAATATAAGATGGGGAGTAATGAGGAAAACAGTCAACATCAATCTCTGGCCTCCATACACTTGCACACACATGTGTACATGCATTCACTACACACATGCCTCTACACAAATGCATACCACACACACATACATACACAAGCCAAAAAAGGGAATCATATACATAATGCAAAGAAGTAGACATATGGTATTCCAATAAAAATTTATTCATGGGTATGCCAGTCTGCATTTCATATACTTCACATATGACATAAAATAATCTTTTGCATTTTGTTCTAAGCATTTAGAATGTAAAAACCATTCTCAACACTTAAACTGCACAAAAACAGGAAGAGTAACTTTGGTCTATGGGCTACTAATTTCCAACTATCATTGCACAAGAATAAAGACGTGGAAACAAGGCATCATTGTGACATGCATCATTTTGTGTATGAAATATATGCTTTTAGAAAGCCATGGGAAGGTGTGTAGATGCATTCAATTCAGAGAGTCATAAAACTTGTTTAAAAAGACACATTGGAAATTCAGTTTAATACATATTAGAATCTAGCAGAATTTTCTTACTCTTCTGCCTCATACAAATAATTTATTTTCTTTGTGTGGAAAGTAACTTCCTAGAAAGGGAAAGGCAGGAGTAGAGTGAATTCGAAGCCTGCCCAAGCTTTGTGGAGAGTTCCGGCCAGCTGCATTGCTGTGGGACTCTGTCAAATGAGAAAGAAAAGAAAAATATCCTACTTAGGTAGTAACTCCATGGTAATACTTAGTGGTAAGATTTTAGAAGTTTAAGGAGTCATAGATACAGCTCACTGTGGGAGCACCCATTAGACCCTGGTTCCATCCCCCCACACAAAAATATTTTATTGAATTTTCTGTAATATTAGGGAGACTTTTGAGTGAATGATTACTTTAAATATTTTTTGGTTTCTTGAAATTATGAATATTTTAGATAAATCAGATGAAAGTATTTTAACTTATCAGTAGATGAATAATTTAAACATTCTATTTCAAAGTTTAAAACACAAACATTCATATGTTCATTTCTGAAAGGTAGGTAGTTTTAAAATTACTAGATGTTACAATATTGTCATATATTCATAGTACAAGAAAAAAAGATAAATATAATTTACATATAAATATGTTTGTATTTCAGTAAAAATGGCACAGCTGGTAACTCTCTTAAAGTACATTACCAAAGCATTATTGTAGTCAGTATTTAAACACTACTATTATTCTTCATCTACAAGGCATTTAGAGATAAACATAAGACATTTTAAAAGAACATATAATGTCAACTTGCACTTAGTGAACTCCACATACTTTGTAGTAGCTAAAATAGACCATTTTAAATGGTCATTTCCTTAAGAGTTCTGTTTTTAAATTTCTTCAGCCTTCTGGAAAGCCTGAATCAGCCAAACTTCAAGTGGCAGAATGGCATGACAAGGCTACAGCCAACCAAAATAAGCTGCCATTGGGTACCACAGGGCTGCCCCCCTGTCAACCTGGCCGTCATGCAGAATCGAATACTGACTGGTGAGGACAGCCTTCATTTGTATTGCAGGAATTACGTGTTGGACTTTTCTAACTAAAGAGAACAACAGACCCTAAGTGAAAGCTGTCACTGCCCACCCTCCTCTGCAGTCAGCTCTCTCACTGTCCTGTCTGCCATGTTCTTGCAGTGTACGTAATAAATGCATTTTCCTACTATGAAAAAAAAATTTTTTTGCATTGATTCATAATCAATTATGACATAAAAATTGACCCTTTTTTTTGAGACAAGGTCTCATTCTGTAGCCCTGCCTTGCCTGGATCTCGCTCTGTAGACCAGACTGGCCTCGAACTCACAGGGATCTGCCTGCCTCTGCCTCCTGAGTGTGAGTGCTGGGATTAGAGCCTTGAAGATGTCAGAAGTGGGGTTCTGGGGAGGTGCTGTTCAGTCTCTGAAAAGCACTCTTCTCATTGGTGTGAATGTCAAAAAAGAACAGAGATAAGGCAGATGAAAACTGGAATGAGAATTTCCAGGAACAATAAATTAAAATATAACAGGAAAGTGTCAATACTTCGTGTAGTGTTTCCAGAAGAGTACCATCATTTTCAAACTCTCAGCACTAGACATATATAAAATTGAATAATATTTTTCTTTTCCTTGATGTAAAGCATGATATGACCCTTTAAAATGTTTTTATAATATGCTCACACATGAAGAACTTAACTAGTGAAAAAAAGTATTATCACTAAAACGTGAATTTGAAGCCTTTTCATAATTAATCAGTAGTTTTCATAACAGTATAAAGCAATTTCCTTAGGAAAAAATCCTGCCAATTGGAATATCTTCATTTTGAAAATAAAAACATAAGACATTGCTTTCAGAGAGTGGTGAAACTCAGGCCTCAGTGATCTGAGCACCCAGGAACTCAGGCAGTGAGAGCAGAAAGTGGTACCCTGGGAACAGTTCTTTTCATGGGCACAGTCAGTCACTGGGAAGCATCCATGAGCACTTGTCCCAAGGGCCTGTTCAGTGATGGCTCTCTGCAGTCCAGCAACATCATCCAGTGCCCTCTTCTTCCAACTGCATGTCACAGATGTTTCAGTTTATATTTAAACTGAATATCATTTAATGGTGGCAAAATTCCCAAGCCTGCCCTGGACTGGTCTAGAGGGGGACACTTGACTTGGCTCTCCACAAGTTCCAGTTCAAAGTATGAAAGCATTAGAATCAAAAATTGCTTGATTTCTTGGACAGCAAATAGTCTTCCTGGACATATTGTAGCTCCTGATCCAAATGGCATGTAGAAATACTTCAGTTTGTTCCCATTTTTGTAGAAGGAGGTCTTTGTCTTCCTCTTCTCATCAAGGTACCGATCATATTTAAAAGTCTGCAATAAAGAGACAAGAAGCCAATGAACTGTTTTGATAGAAAGTTGTCTCACTCTTGACCTGGAAGACCCAAAGAGTAATTTTCTACTAATAGCTCCATCCTCGGCAAGTTAGTGTACACCCAATGCTGAACTAGGTGGTACTGGAAAAATCTTATCAAGAGCTGATAGACCAAGAAGCTCTAGGTGCCTCCTGTTCTGCCTGGACTCATTCCTCAGTTAGGCAAAAGAAGCAAAGGGTTCTAAACAGATGATAGAAGGAGCAAATCAAATACATTACCCTCCATTAGTATGGACTTGGAAGAAGGTACTTTTTAAGGAAAAAGAAAAATGGTAGCTTTGCTCTGACTGAAAACTTAAACTAACAGAAACTATGAAATGAAGACTATCAGTACTACAATTTCAAAACTCTTGCCTCTATCCAAAGTTTCCAAAACATATGAATATTTACTATAATAAAGGGGACAGTCCCTATGGCTTCAATGAGCAGATCAAAGCTGTAATTCACCTCGATACTGAACTTCAATGAGCAGAAACTTACCAGAGGGTCTGGGTAGATTTCAGGATCCAAGTGCATTAACTGTGGATAAAGAGCTATGATGTCGTCTTTTCGGATGTTATAGGAACCATCCTCAAGATGTAGAGTGAAATCCTCCTTAGCAGTCCGGATATTCAAGGATGCACTGGAAAGCCTCAGAGCCTCCTTGATGATGCTATCTAAATATTTTCAAATAAAAGTAAGAGAGGAAGGAAGGAAAGAGGGTGGAGAGAATTTGCATATTAAACACATTTTCAAGTTATTTATTTTCATGTTGATGGGTGTTTTGCCCGCATGTATGTATGTGCACTATGCACCTGCTCAGTGTTTGCAGAGGTCAGAATATGGTATCAGATCCTTTCGAACTGGAGTTATGATGGTTGTGAGCCACCATGTGGGTGTTGTGAGTCAAACCTAGGTCCTCTGAAAAAACATGAAGTGCTCTTAACCACTGAGCAATCTCTCCAGCCCTGAATTTATGCATTTAAAGGCTACATAACATAATGTCTGAAATACTTCTGACAACCTATATACAAAATAAACAAATAAAACTTGTTAACAATAACAACTTAAAGTTAACAAATAAAAACTTCCCAAAGCTGATTCTGTTACCACTGTGCTGTTATTTGTGACTCAGCTGTTCTGAAAGATACTTTCAAACTAAATAGTTAAGTCATTATTTCTCAACCTGTGGGTCTTAACCCCTTTGAGGTCAAATGACCCCTTTGCAGGGGTCACCCAAGACCATCAGAAGACACAGATATCTGCATTATGATTCAGAACAGTAGCAAAATTACAGTTATGAAGTAGCAATGAAAATTATTTTATGGTTGGGGTTCACCACAACATGAGGAACTGTATTAAAGGAGTGCAACATTAGAAAGGTTGAGAAGCACTAAGTTAATAATCTTTTGGTACGATGCCATGTTCTTCACCATCAATGGGAACTAGATAAACATCTCTTACTTTGTAGAATATTAATCTTATTTCTGTAGGACACTAAACAGCTAAGAAAATTGGAAAAACTGGTAATCAATTTTGTGTGAATTATTGTTGACTATTTTGGGGATTAAGCATACTGATAGAGAAATATCTTTCCAAGCATTTCCTGAATCTACCATTCAGTGTTTAGAAAATCCCATTTTCAGCCATTCAGGATCTGATGGTGTGAAATGACACCCTGCATCTAGGTAAAGGAATGTAGGCGCAAACTAAACCTCAGAATCGCTGGAGTCTAGGAGAGGTCCAGTCCTGCCTTCCCACCTCTAGTGTCAGCTGCCCTGTTCCCAGGGTTCACACCATGATTGTGAACACCATGTGTGCAGTCACAAATGCTTAGCTCTTGTGAGAGAAGGGACGCGTCCAAAGCAAAGTGACAAGTCCAACTCCCAAACCAGGCAGCGCTGGATCGAGGCTTTGTTGCTAATAAGCTAAACTGCCCTCAAAGCATATGTGGGCTTCTGTCCTTCACAGAAGAGGACATGAAAAGAAGATTGTTTTACTATAAACATGTGGCACTTCTGTATCTTAGAAAATACAGAAACAAGGGAAGAAAAGCCTCAGTCACACCACCCAAGCTGATCATGCTTTCCTGATTGTACCTTGTTTACACTTAATTCCATGCTTCCTTAATCCTGAGTTCATGGTTTTGGAGCACTAACAAGGAGGCAAAGGACACAGTGCAACTGAGTATCAAAAGTCCTATTCCAGTGTTGCCACTGTTCCAGCCTTTGATTCCGGCATCATCCCACCCCCTGGGACTCAGTTCCTTGCTTGTTAGATAAAAACGGAAATGTCCCTAGTTATCAGACTACTGTGGGGTTAGCATAATATCAAGAACATAGTACAATATATGTTGAGCATCGTTACTGGTGATGTGACTGAGGGGTAGCATGGGAAACACACCTAGTACTGGCAGGTCGTTCAGTTGCATTTGATCCAAATAAATGGCATTCCCTCCAGGGCTGGGCTTTTGGCCAGCACTCTGTAATGCTCCAATCACTTCTTCAGAGGCTGCTTTCAATGCTTCAGGACTCCTATGAAAAGAGACATGGAAAATATTTCCTTATTCAGAAATATGCAAGTAAATAAGAACTCCATTTCTCTCAATGAGGTTACCATGTTACCAGGAAGTATGCAAGGGGAGGTGGTCACGGTACCAGGGAGTATGCAAAGTGGCATTGCCATTTACTTCTGCTGTATTCTGAACTGTATTCGTGTCCTTGAATTCATGAAGGGGCATTAAAGGGTCTTTGCTATGTAAAAGCAAAGCTTTGGTCAGGTCTGTATGAACCAATGAGTCTAATAAGGGCTAGACATTCATGCGATGAATATAGTAACTCAAAAGGAATATTTCACCTAACAAACAATTACAGGGTATTGGTTACTTCCCAAGTAGAAATTCAAATTTACTCTTAAAATTCATATCATGGCTTCAGAACACTTATGTTATTTACACTTATGTTACTATTTTTGAATTGTGAGATAAAGGATACTTCCATCAATGCATGGAAATTTGTTGGTGGCTGTTTGAAATCCACTTTACCTGATTACAGTGAACTGAGCCTCAGAAATGTTTGACTAACACATAGCTGTTTAACTTAAAATATGGCTGCAGTTCATAGGTGATATGAAATTGATGTTGCAACTCTGTAAATCTGTGAGACAGCAGGAAAACAGGAATGTTCAAATTAATAAGGAGTGGCCTCTGTCCTTAGGACGTCTGCAAGTCAGTCATCATTTAAAATGTTTTTATCATGATGAAGATTGCAGTCACGGATTTAATTTGACCTTAAGAGGAAGGCTGTGGGGTTAAAGAGCAAGACTGGATCTTAACAAGTGCTGGCTGATCCATCCTGTGGCTTCTGGGACATCCCTTTCAGTGGGATTGTGTTCCTACAAAATGCTGCTTTTGTTATGCATATGTTAAACATGGGCACTGAGTATCACGTTCTTGACCAATAGCAAAGAAAGTTCTACTATTCTTTTGGGACTTTTAGCTAAAATTGTAACTTCTGTCACTATGAATAATAAACACTTAAATTGCTAGTCACCTGATCATTTGAAATAAGCTCCAGAAAGTTGCAGGAATGGTGTTTGCTTGAGATGCCCAGAGGATAACGAGGTGCGTCTTGGCCTTCTCCATGTCGTCAAAGGTGGAGAGAGTGTCGTTGAGAAACATGCGCAGACGGATCAGTTCAGAGACCTGGTCCCTCACAGAGAGGTTCTCATGCTTCAAGCTCTCAGCCAGCTTTTCCCGGGCCTTATGCGCCGTCTTGAACAAGTGAATAGGAAGGCCTGCTGCCAGCGCTGGAAAGACGTGATCAAATTGCTTGAAGTTGTCAAGGTTGTTGAGAATAAACGCTCTTTGTGCGTCTGGCTTTGAAGTATCTCTGCCAAACAGAGTTAGATATCCGGCTTCAAACATCACTCGGTAGCAGAAGGCGTACATTCCTTCGGTGACCCAGGCAGTACTCTTTGATTTAGGAAGGCCAGGACGCCTCATGACAGAATGCAGGTTTTGCATCATGGCTTCAGAGAGTGAATGCAAAGCTTCTCCCTGGAGGGTTTTTGTAAAAGTGTTGTTTATGTTTTCCGTGGTATTTCCATCATTTGGGTCAATGCTTCTGTGTCCAAATGCCTGGCAGAAAATAAAATCCATCAAAGGGGGAGGGGCTAAACCTGAGCTAGTCACTGTTAAGAAATGTCTGGAAGATAGATTCAATACATTCATACTTCTCTGTCTGGCTTTCCCATATCGATTCACAGCACTTTCCAAAGGCAGAGTAAGATATACTCTTCCTTTAAGGTTGAGTTTAATCCCAGCTTCTCAGAGAAGCTTCTCTGGACTACCCCATCATCTTTGATGTAAGACTAACTTGATGTTAATTTTATCTTTACCTTTTTATTCTCTGTAGACACATTTTAACCAGACTTCAATCTACTTGATGACAGAGACTGTCTGATATTTTCTTGTAAAAATTCAGTAAGTTGTTTTCTCTACAATAGAGATTCTTGATAACATCTAAATGATGCTTAAATATACAGTCTACTTCTTAAATTAATGAAATATTTGTGTGCATGGATGTGGTAACAGTTGTATTGAATGTTAAGTCTACCAGCACTCTACTCTGAGTGTTGTATAGACAGCATTGAGGTTATGAATCTGTACCTTCCTTATTCACAGTGTCATCTGGCTAAGGAAGTACTTACAGAATGCTTAATTTGTGTATGTCATCATCAATTTCAAATTTACATCTACCTTGAATTTTTAATACTTAGTACCAAGAGACTTCCTGATTTTATGTTCCCTCTATCTTACAATCTAATAACACTGGAACAACTAAATAAACTAATGCATTAACAGACTAGGAAACAAACCAAATCTGTATAAACTAGTTACCTTTGCAGAAGTAGTGTAATGAAATTTTTTCCAGTCAAAATATTTTCCATGACATAACACCTTATGGTATGACAAGGAGTTTGTGATGAAGTGGACATATTTCCCCATTAGTTTGCAGGTAAAAACATGACCATGCTTCCTTTGATTGGCTCTCAGGAACTCAAGAGGATTGGACCCAAATTTCAGAGCACAGCCCAGGTATGGAATCAGCCCATTCTCCAGTGGAGGTTCCCCTACTTTCCTGTAAACAGATTTGAGAGATTTGGAAAACCACATGTTTGGCATTTTTATGAAAGCCAGGTTTTTACTGGTTTCTACCACTTATTTCAAGCTTCATAACTACAGTTCGTTGATACTTCTTGTGATAGTTACTCCATTCTTTTACTAAAACAGTGGGTTTTTTAGCCTACTAAGATATTGGTGAAAGTGATTACTAAATCTACCCACTTATCAATCCATCTACCAACCCATCCATCGGTATATCCACCACTATAAATACGTACATACCTACATTCATCAAGCATTCATTAAATTGTTTACTATGTCTATGTCAATAGTGTCAATATAACCAACAAGATTCTTGCTCTTGTTGTAGCAATGAAGCTATTATCTAATGCTTAGACCTATTCAATGAATCATTTGTCCAAATGCCTAAAATGTTTCATTTGTTCCCTTTCTTTGAAGATGTGAAACACCAAATAACAGAAAAGGCTACAGGAATGAAATTTTTAAAATCTACACAACTTAAAAATATTGGCATTCTGGGGTCTGGAGGTGTGGCTCAAGGGTGGAACTCTTGCCTAGCATATATGAAACCTTCCACTTGATTCCCAGCTCTGAAAAGAAGGGCATTATTATTCTGTGATGATATTTGAAGAGAATAGGAATCCCATTTGAAAAAATAGAATATTATAAAATGAAGTTGGGGGAGATAAGCATTGGCAGATTGTCAACTATAATTTACTGATATTTAGCTCTCTTAAATGTTTTATTAGAAATTATAAGCTTACTTATTTTCCAACATGAACTACTTATCTCTTGTTAGAATAACTGAATATAATTGATTTTTCCTTTCTTAGCATTAAGATAAGCTATTTAATTAAAACTGGAAACTATCAGACATGACTTAAAATAACTCAAAGGGCAAAGAAAATTTTAAAACTAAGACAACAGACAGCAGTGTACCTCACTGAAGATATGCTGGGGTATTCCCATATTTTAATGTTGACGTAACAAAAAAAACGAAATGAACACATGCTTAGCCAGAGCATCTATTCAGTTCATATGACAGAAAGAACCCTTCCAAATACCACCCTTGCTAAATGCACTCTTCCCAGCTTAGGTTTTTTTCACACATGCTCACACAAACATGAATCAATAACTTATACATTTTTTAGTTATGTTTAACAAGATCTGCATGACCATCAGTGTATGTGAATATTCAAAGGGAAACTGTCTACATCTTGTCAGGTTTAGTCAAAGAAGAATGGCTTTAAATTTTAGATAAAAATACTAATGTACCAGTATTTTTAAAAACTGTATAATAGTGAAGGTAAAGAATGATAGAAACAAGCTAAAAGACAAATTAAAGAAATTCTTTCCATACCTTCTCCTTATGCCAAAGATAACCCATATGCAGCAACACACTACCACAGCAATCCCCCAAATCAAAGAGATGGTCATCATTTTGCAAAGCAGGAAAAATTCCCAAGGTCTTTGCTTAGCCAGGTAAGGCTGCCCCCAAACAGTGGCTCAAACTAGACTTTTTATATGCATAGGACCATGGTCCAATAACTTGAACTTGGGTGACCAAAGCAAACAGCTATTTGTCCTCCTGTTAGAAAAAAGAAAAAATAGTATTACCTGGCCTTGAACTAAGTCCATAGTATCAGAAGAGGTTCCAAAACAAGCAGAGGGCTGCAATACTCGATAAGCCAAAGATCTGTCCCTCGTGTGCTGACATAACATTCAGGCCCAGGGACAGCAGCTAACATTGTGCTTCTGCGTATGTAAAGAGTAGAAGTAAACATGCCACAAATGAGTGCATCTGTTAAAAAATATTGAGCATGATGTACAACAAAACAGGCAGAAGCTTTTCATCATGGTCAGTTATGTTGTGACCTTTGGGGGCATTAATTTAAATAATTTTCCAGAAATATACAGCAACCAATCCAAAAGAATGAGAACTGGGTGGAACAATTTTCTTGTTTGATTGCCTGGTGTATTTACAAATTCACAGGTGTTTCATGTGCACTGTGACATGTTACTCTCATCATCCAAAAAGAAAACTTCTCTCGGTACCTCATCTTCTGGGTAGCCATAGCTTGTTTTGAGAATACAGTCTTTACCAAACTTTACTTGTAATTAAGATGTAGTTTACTTCAAGTAAAGACTAAAACACTTCTTGGTAGAAACATAAATACGAATTCATGATTTACCTCTTATGCCACTTGCACTATAAACTGCTATACATCCTCCCAAACTTGATTCAGCATACTCTTTTATTCTGTTCTGGAAGTTGAACCTATGGCTCTACTTCTCCACGGCAAGCACTCTACCACTGAGTTACACCTGAGCTCCCTGTTTAACACACATATTAACTGAGCTTTTTTTTTTTATGTTCCAGGAACTCTTTAAAGATATTCTGGTTTCAGGTATTAACAAGATAGGGAAGTTCATGACTCTCATGAAGATTGCATTCTAGTGGGGAGACTGGTGGTAAAATATGTGTTGTACATACATAAAACGAGGTGGAGAGACCCGTTGAGGGTAAAGGAGGCTTGAGCAGACTGAACAGAGAACTCTTCCCAAAGAGAGGACACTTGAGATGAAACAGCAAAGGCAGAGTTCCTGAGTGGAGGGTGAACTTGACTTGCTAAAAACCAGAAAGAAGGTAGCATCAATTAGAGAAGAGTGATAGGAAATGGGGTTAGGTTAAAATAAGAGACAAAAAGATAAGCAAAAGCTGATTCCTACAGGGATGCCTCAGAGAAGGGAGAGGATCTTGGAAGGCAATAGGTCAGTATACTGTTGTGAACATTTAAAAATCCACGGGACAATGTCAAATTGACAACTGAATGTAAGTATCTGCGGTTAGGTGAAGGGAGAGCAATGGAGATGTAAATCTCAAGCCATCAGCATTGGATTGATAGTTAAAGCCAAGAGACCCTCAGCCCTCCCTAGAAGAAAGTGAAGCAGATGCAGTAATTAGAGTATGATACCAGGCTACATGACACACAACAGGCCATGTGACACCAGGCCAGGTGACACCAGGCCACAGTGCATTCTATTCCTCAGTGTCAGTCGGGAGCAGGGGGAAGGGGAGGAGAAGAAAGGATGAAAGGAAGATAGATAAAAAGTACATACATATATGTCTCCAGATACATATCTATATGAGGTATATATACACATGTTAAGTCATTTCTATTAGTGTGTGCTTAGAATTCTACAACATAAAGTTATTCTACAGGACAACTTATTCAACTAGTTCCCTATTGGTAAATATTTGAGTCCTTTCTAGTTTTTGCTGTGGACTCCACACTTGATAGTTTTTGCCTCCCTAAACAGAGCCCACAGATCCTTTATTATGTGGTTTATGACCATAATCATTAACATCAGTTGCTATGCAGCAGGATAGATTTTTTTCTCAGAATCTATGAGACCTCCTAATGCTTTCTGCACATTAAGTATGTTTATATTGCTTTTATACGATGACATATTTTCTTCTCACATGGCTCTTGAGGAGCCTAACCCTTAGGCATCCAATCACCACAGATTAAATGGGGGAAACAACAATCTCAGATCCAAACAAACCATCTCTTCAAAGTCACCTGTCTCCTAAATCACAGCAGACAAAAAATAGACAAGAGAAGCCATAGGTAGTCTCTTAGTACTGTCTTTACAACTTCCCAAGAATCTGTAATTCTCTGGAGATAAGGAGGTTTCAAAACGAGAAGGGAAAAGTAATCTCATAGCCTAGGCAAGCTTCCTGCAGGCCGGTTTCTTTACCCCCACTCAGAACTCTTTCCAGTGGGGCCTGGCTGCTGCTTATCTTGATGTCTCTTATCCTGTCCTTTTCTTTTTACCCCCTCACTTGTAGCACCTTCTCTATGTCAACACCTGAGCACACACATGAGACATGTACACGGGACAGTGGAGACTTGGAGATGCACACATACAGAGACAGGTTCACACGACAGTGGAGACGATGAGTCAGACTTTGGCACTGTTCTTTGTTAAGCACAGGCTATGTCTTTCCTTCTACGAAGCCCAATTGTTGCTGCTGTGTATTCACAAACAACATCTAGCAGAGCTTCTAATCTGGGGCTGGAAATTCTAATGCTCACTACAGTCGAAACTACTAGCAGACTTCAAGGAAATATCTAAACAATTTTTTTTTGATAAATACAGTGCACGAAGTTTTATGCCTGGGTTTAGTGACTTCTTGGTGTGTTTTTAGCATAGTACTGGTACTCTGCAGTGTTCAATGAATTCTGCCTCAATGCACAACTCTTTTCCTTAATTCCCTGTTTCAGGTGGTAAATTTTTATTATTCTCTGTATGTGTCTCTCTCTGTCTCCCTGTTGCTGTCTCTGTCTGTGCCTGCCCCCCCCCCCCACACACACACAGAGTGGCACCTATTGCATGCCCAGCACTGAGCTAGTGCTGGGACACAGAGTAAACACAACAGTGACCCTGACCTATGGAGTTTCTGTTACAGCAGTGTCAGTCAGCAGGTGCCCTGAAAAGACAGGGTTATTGTTGCCAGGAGACCTGACATGTCAAGTTGAGTTTATTTTAACCCCAATGCTTCTTTTGTATGTCAGTTTTTTCTTCATTTGTGTAGGATATTATAGAAGAGCATAAGTCCTGTTGTTTGGAAGAATTTGATCTTGGCCTCAGAGATTACAAGGCCCAGTGCCCCATTATCATACATAAAAATGGACAAAACAGGCTGGAGAGATGGCTCAGCAGTTAAAAGCATTGCAGAGAAGCCCTGTTTGGTTCCTCGGACCCACACAGGAAAGCTACAACTGCCTGTAATGTAACTCTAGCCAGGAAACCTGATGCCTCCTAGCCTCTGTGGACACCTTCACACAAGTGGTGCATACAGACTCATTCAGAAACAAATACATATGCATAAAAAGAGAAATATTTTTTTAAAAAGACATCGATAAAACATGGGATCTTACACCAGAAGAGTAGAAATGAAAATGAAACCCCAGAGCTGTCAGCATATAAACACTGGTGGCACTGTACTGCCTATTTGGAAACATGCTAGCAGAGCTGGGGGTAGAGCTCAATGGTAGGAAGGCTTGCCTTGCTCTTCTATAATATCCTACACAAATGAAGAAGAAACATGTGGGTCCCTAAGCTCAACTCCCAGCACTGAAGAAAAAGAGAAATGCAATAAGCGAAGACTGCACAAACAAGTTGATTGCTTTAAATGAAGTGAACTGTCAATGTGGCCAAACAACTATGCCACAAGTCTTTTGGTGACTAATTGCTTTTCTGAGCTCACAAGTCATTATGGAGGAGCACAGCTGATTTGAATTAAGATGATTCTTTGCCTTTTTCAGGTCTTCAAAATCAAAACTCTGTTTGAGGTATGTATCTCAGAGTCAGTTAGCACATGGGCATGCTGGAATGGGGTGGTAAAGTGTCCTGTGATTACTTGGGGCTTTCATAGTAAATTCTTGGGAAATGCATCTATTCACTTTTGAGCTAAAGCTTTATGAAGCTGTAGAACAGAACTACCTATGTCATGATAAAATAGATTGTCTGATTTTCAAGAAAATTTTACCTAGGCAGGGAAGCACATGGCTGTAAACCCAGTACTTGGGATGCTGAAGCAGGAGGATTGCCATGACTTCAAGGACAGCCTGGACTACATAGTGAGTATGTAGTCAGTCAGGACTATATAGCAAGAATCTGTCTGGAAAAAAAAAACACATCATTTTGAATCCTGAATTCCTCGTTTTAGAATTATAAGTACCTAGTAAAACTCAGATATAAAAAGACATGTGTAAGTCATCGGCAACTTCTTAAGTTTAAGGGTAGTAAAGGACACCTTATTACAGAGGGAAAGTGTAACATGCCACCATCTAGCTACGTACTAATTAGTACTTATTTCATGTATTTTGTTCACATTACGTATCACCTGCTTTGTAAAAGGCATTTCTTATGTGCTGAAGATACAGAGATAAACAGACAAAAGGCGCCTCTGCTTCTCATGAGGATACAGCCAATCAAAAGTTAGGAGAGACACTGTTTGGCTTCTGGCACTATTTCTGTTATTAGGGAAGGTTAAGCCAATGCATTAATGTTTGGTGTGAAACCCTTCACTGTCTTGCCTCACTAAACCACATGATAGCAGTATGAGATGAACACTGTTGTCCCTATGTGCAAATGACCTGATCCAAGCCCTGGCACCAAGGCCCCATCAGTCTCTGCTGTATTGTGCTGCGTTCAGGGAAAACTCTATTGCCCAAGCTACTGGAGTCAAGGCTAAGTCTTTGCTTTGCTTTTATAATTCCACCTCCATCTCAGCCTAGTCTATAAAGCTCAACTATGCCATCAGCTAATGGAACCAAGTCGGCCTCACCAGGGAGGGTGAGGGTGGGTAATCTGTATTTCTTAATTATAAATTACAATTTCAAATGAGCTGTACAAACATAATACCTTAAACAAGAGCAGTAATATACATACAGTATAACAAAATTAACTTTAAATTTGTATCAATAAACTAAAATCCATAGCAATGTAAACAAGTTTTTGCTCTTTAAAAGGAGATTCAACAATCTACCCTTTCATCCTATCAAATCTGTACTATCCCCTTTACTTTTTTAGAAAGAGATTGCATTTATAATCAACCTCCTTTAAATACAAATAAACATTTATAAACAATATTTTGGGAATTTGGGCATAGCTTCTCATACTACTTCCTGCTGGTTGGAGGTGCTGGCAATCTTATGGGGATCCTGAGAAAATTAAGAATTATAGTTAAGTCTTGGCTGTAGTAGTCTGTGAAGGCTGGATCATCTCAGCCAGTTGCTTTGAAGTTGATTTTGGATGTTGGATCATCTGGGCCATGGTGTCATTAGAGACCTTTCATGGGGTCTTGGGTGATCAAAACATATTACCCTGGAAGCAATCCATAGGTTCTCATCTTTTCCAAAACAACATATCCTTAGACACAAATTTTTTTTTTATTTTTATTTTGCAATACAATTCAGTTCTACATATCAGCCACGGATTCCCTTGTTCTCCCCCCCTCCCGTCCCCCTCACCTTCCCCCCAGCCCCCCCCCATTCCCATCTCCTCCAGGGCAAAACCTTCCCCACAGACTGAGATCAACCTGGTAGACTCAGTCCAGGTAGATTCAGTCCCCTCCTCCCAGGCCGAGCCAAGCAATCCTGCATAGGCCCCAGGTTTCAAACAGCCAACTCATGCAATGAGCACAGGACCTGGTCCCACTGCCTGGATGCCTCCCAAACAGATCAAGCCAATCAACTGTCTCACCCATTCGGAGGGCCTGATCCAGTGGGGACCCCTCAGCCATTGGTTCATAGTTCATGTGTTTCCATTCATTTGGCTATTTGTCCCTGTGCTTTATCCAACCTTGGTCTCAACAATTCTCGCTCATATAAACCCTCCTCATTCTCACTAATTGGACTCCCAGAGATCCACCCAGGGCCTAGTCATGGATCTCTGCATCCAGATCCCTCAGTAGTTGGATGAGGTTTCTAGCACGACAATTAGGGTGTTTGGCCATCCCATCACCAGAGTAGGTCAATTCGGGCTGTCTCTCGACCATTGCCAGCAGTCTGTTGTGTGGATATCTTTGTGGATTTCTGTGGGCCTCTCTAGCACTTT